GTTTCGACCGCCAAACCTTTCAGGGGAGCATTTGCAACCTTTTGGCACCATTTTTGAGTGAACTGCCAAAAGTCAGATTTTTCCTGAAATTGTGACCCTGGGCTTAGGCATTTTTTCAAAAAATCTTTTCTGCCGGTTAAGTTGTTGAGGGCTGATTTCTTGTCCTGTGATAAAAGCCTTCTGTTTCGACCGCCAAACCTTTCAGGGGAGCATTTGCAACCTTTTGGCACCATTTTTGAGTGAACTGCCAAAAGTCAGATTTTTGCTGAAATTGTGACCCTGGGCTTAGGGATTTTTTCAAAAAATCTTTTCTGCCTGGTAAGTTGTTGAGGGCTGATTTCTTGTCATGTGTTAAAAAGCCTTCTGTTTCGACCGCCAACCCTTTCAGGGGAGCATTTGCAACCTTTTGGCACCATTTTTGAGTGAACTGCCAAAAGTCAGATTTTTACTGAAATTGTGACCCTGGGCTTAGGCATTTTTTCAAAAAATCTTTTCTGCCGGTTAAGTTGTTGAGGGCTGATTTCTTGTCCTGTGATAAAACGCCTTCTGCTTCGACCGCCAAACCTTTCAGGGGAGCATTTGCAACCTTTTGGCACCATTTTTGAGTGAACTGCCAAAAGTCAGATTTTTGCTGAAATTGTGACCACGGGGCGTATGGATTTTTTCAAAAAAATGTCTTTCGGCCGGTTAAGTTGTTGTGGGCTGATTTCTTGTCCTGTGATAAAACGCCTTCTGTTTCGACCGCCAAACCTTTCAGGGGAGCATTTGCAACCTTTTGGCACCATTTTTGAGTGAACTGCCAAAAGTCAGATTTTTGCTGAAATTGTGACCCCGGGCTTAGGGATTTTTTCAAAAAAATCTTTTTTTGCCGGTTAAGTTGTTGAGGGCTGATTTCTTGTCCTGTGATAAAAAGCCTTCTGTTTCAACCACCAAACCTTTCAGGGGAGCATTTGCAACCTTTTGGCACCATTTTTGAGTGAACTGCCAAAAGTCAGATTTTTGCTGAAATTGTGACCCCGGGGCTTAGGGATTTTTTCAAAAAAAATTTAGGCCGGTTAAGTTGTTGAGGGCTGATTTCTTGTCCTGTGATAAAACGCCTTCTGTTTCGACCGCCAAACCTTTCAGGGGAGCATTTGCAACCTTTTGGCACCATTTTTGAGTGAACTGCCAAAAGTCAGATTTTTACTGAAATTGTGACCCCGGGCTTATGGATTTTTTTCAAAAAATCTTTTCTGCCGGTTAAGTTGTTGAGGGCTGATTTCTTGTCCTGTGATAAAACGCCTTCTGTTTCGACCGCCAAACCTTTCAGGGGAGCATTTGCAACCTTTTGGCACCATTTTTGAGTGAACTGCCAAAAGTCAGATTTTTGCTGAAATTGTGACCTCGGGGCTTAGGGATTTTTTCAAAAAAATCTTTTTCTGCCGGTTAAGTTGTTGAGGGCTGATTTCTTGTCCTGTGATAAAAAGCCTTCTGTTTCGACCGCCAAACCTTTCAGGGGAGCATTTGCAACCTTTTGGCACCATTTTTGAGTGAACTGCCAAAAGTCAGATTTTGCTGTCAGTTTGCCTCCGGGTCTTATGGATTTTTTCATAAATATCTTTTTCTGCCGGTTTAGTTGTTGTGGGCTGATTTCTTGTCCTGTGATAAAACGCCTTCTGTTTCGACCGCCAAACCTTTCAGGGGAGCATTTGCAACCTTTTGGCACCATTTTTGAGTGAACTGCCAAAAGTCAGATTTTTGCTGAAATTGTGACCCCGGGCTTAGGGATTTTTTCAAAAAATCTTTTTCTGCCGGTTAAGTTGTTGAGGGCTGATTTCTTGTCCTGTGATAAAAGCCTTCTGTTTCGACCGCCAAACCTTTCAGGGGAGCATTTGCAACCTTTGGCACCATTTTTGAGTGAACTGCCAAAAGTCAGATTTTTACTGAAATTGTGACCCGGGGCTTAGGCATTTTTTCAAAAAATATTTTTTTGCCGGTTAAGTTGTTGAGGGCTGATTTCTTGTCCTGTGATGAAAAGCCTTCTGTTTCGACCGCCAAACCTTTCAGGGGAGCATTTGCAACTGTTTGGCACCATTTTTGAGTGAACTGCCAAAAGTCAGATTTTTGCTGAAATTGTGACCCCGGGGCTTAGGCATTTTTTCAAAAAAATCTTTCTCTGCCGGTTAAGTTGTTGAGGGCTGATTTCTTGTCCTGTGATGAAAAGCATTCTGTTTCGACCGCCAAACCTTTCAGGGGAGCATTTCCAACTGTTTGGCACCATTTTTGAGTGAATTGCCAAAAGTCAGATTTTTACTGAAATTGTGACCACGGGGCTTAGGCATTTTTTCAAAAAAATCTTTTTCTGCCGGTTAAGTTGTTGAGGGCTGATTTCTTGTCCTGTGATAAAACGCCTTCTGTTTCGACCGCCAAGATCTTTCAGTGGAGCATTTGCAACCTTTTGGCACCATTTTTGAGTGAACTGCCAAAAGTCAGTTTTTTCCTGAAATTGTGACCCCGGGGCTTAGGGATTTTTTTTTTAAAAAAAATTCTCCCGGTTAAGTTGTTGAGGGCTGATTTCTTGTCCTGTGATAAAAAGCCTTCTGTTTCGACCACCAAACCTTTCAGGGGAGCATTTGCAACCTTTTGGCACCATTTTTGAGTGAATTGCCAAAAGTCAGATGTTTGCTGAAATTGTGACCCCGGGCTTAGGCATTTTTTCAAAAAATCTTTTCTGCCGGTTAAGTTGTTGAGGGCTGATTTCTTGTCCTGTGATAAAAGCCTTCTGTTTCGACCGCCAAACCTTTCAGGGGAGTATTTGCAACCTTTTGGCACCATTTTTGAGTGAACTGCCAAAAGTCAGATTTTTCCTGAAATTGTGACCCTGGGCTTAGGCATTTTTTCAAAAAATCTTTTCTGCCGGTTAAGTTGTTGAGGGCTGATTTCTTGTCCTGTGATAAAAGCCTTCTGTTTCGACCGCCAAACCTTTCAGGGGAGCATTTGCAACCTTTTGGCACCATTTTTGAGTGAACTGCCAAAAGTCAGATTTTTACTGAAATTGTGACCTCGGGCTTAGGCATTTTTTCAAAAAAATCTTTTTCTGCCGGTTAAGTTGTTGAGGGCTGATTTCTTGTCCTGTGATAAAACGCCTTCTGTTTCGACCGCCAAACCTTTCAGGGGAGCATTTGCAACCTTTTGGCACCATTTTTGAGTGAACTGCCAAAAGTCAGATTTTTGCTGAAATTGTGACCCCGGGCTTAGGGATTTTTTCAAAAAAATCTTTTTCTGCCGGTTAAGTTGTTGAGGGCTGATTTCTTGTCCTGTGATAAAACGCCTTCTGTTTCGACCGCCAAAACTTTCAGGGGAGCATTTGCAACCTTTTGGCACCATTTTTGAGTGAACTGCCAAAAGTCAGATTTTTACTGAAATTGTGACCACGGGGCTTAGGCATTTTTTTCAAAAAAAACTTTTCTGCCGGTTAAGTTGTTGAGGGCTGATTTCTTGTCCTGTGATAAAAAGCCTTCTGTTTCGACCGCCAAACCTTTCAGGGGAGCATTTGCAACCTTTTGGCACCATTTTTGAGTGAACTGCCAAAAGTCAGATTTTTTCTGAAATTGTGACCCCGGGGCTTAGGGATTTTTTCTAAAAAATCTTTTTCTGCCGGTTAAGTTGTTGAGGGCTGATTTCTTGTCCTGTGATAAAAAGCCTTCTGTTTCGACCGCCAAACCTTTCAGGGGAGCATTTGCAACCTTTTGGCACCATTTTTGAGTGAACTGCCAAAAGTCAGATTTTTGCGGAAATTGTGACCCCGGGGCGTAGGCATTTTTTCAAAAAAACTATATTCTGCCGGTTAAGTTGTTGAGGGCTGATTTCTTGTCCTGTGATACAAAGCCTTCTGTTTCGACCACCAAACCTTTCAGGGGAGCATTTGCAACCTTTTGGCACCATTTTTGAGTGAACTGCCAAAAGTCAGATTTTTCCTGAAATTGTGACCCCGGGGCTTAGGCATTTTTTCAAAAAATCTTTTTCTGCCGGTTAAGTTGTTGAGGGCTGATTTCTTGTCCTGTGATAAAAAGCCTTCTGTTTCGACCGCCAAACCTTTCAGGGGAGCATTTGCAACCTTTTGGCACCATTTTTGAGTGAATTGCCAAAAGTCAGACTTTTGCTGAAATTGTGACCCCGGGACTTAGGGATATTTTCAAAAAATCTTTTCTGCCGGTTAAGTTGTTGAGGGCTGATTTCTTGTCCTGTGATAAAACGCCTTCTGTTTCGACCGCCAAGACTTTTCAGGGGAGCATTTGCAACCTTTGGCACCATTTTTGAGTGAACTGCCAAAAGTCAGATTTTTCCTGAAATTGTGACCTCGGGGCTTAGGGATTTTATCAAAAAATATTTTTGCCGGTTAAGTTGTTGAGGGCTGATTTCTTGTCCTGTGATAAAAAGCCTTCTGTTTCGACCACCAAACCTTTCAGGGGAGCATTTGCAACCTTTTGGCACCATTTTTGAGTGAACTGCCAAAAGTCAGATTTTTCCTGAAATTGTGACCCCGGGGCTTAGGGATTTTTTCAAAAAAATCTTTTTCTGCCGGTTAAGTTGTTGAGGGCTGATTTCTTGTCCTGTGATAAAACGCCTTCTGTTTAGATCGCCAAACCTTTCAGGGGAGCATTTGCAACCTTTTGGCACCATTTTTGAGTGAACTGCCAAAAGTCAGATTTTTGCTGAAATTGTGACCCCGGGGCTTAGGGATTTTTTTAAAAAAATCTTTTTCTGCCGGTTAAGTTGTTGAGGGCTGATTTCTTGTCCTGTGATAAAAAGCCTTCTGTTTCGATCACCAAACCTTCATGGGAGCATTTGCAACCGTTTGGCACCATTTTAGAGTGAACTGCCATAAAGTCAGACTTTACACTGAAATTGAGACCCCGGGCTTAGGCATTTTTATAACAATAAATCTACTTTAAGATGGTAATGGCTGTACTGAGGCCTTGATTAGCTTGTCGTGCTCATTGGCAACGCCTTTTAGTAAGTGACAGCGACCAGGAACCTAGCCACTTTCAGGGTCGTATGGGTATCCTTATCCTGCAAGATTTGGGCAAGGTGGAATTTTGGTGGAGTACCCTCTAATTTCTGTATGATTGATCCCAACAAATTTGCCCGTGGCACCTTGAATAAGGGGCAAGTGAACATAATGTGCTGAAGCGACTCCGGCATCTCCTTATCACATTCGCACATGGCGGAGGTTTGGCCCTTTGAGAATCTATGTCTCAGGGCATTGGAGGGAAAACATTAAACCTCGCTTTGGTGAAGGCCAGCCTATGGGCAACAGTCGAAAGGGAGGAGAGGTATGATGGAACGCAGTAAGTTAAAGTGATACCAATGTTCTGGGCGAACAAACACCTCCCCCAGCATATAATTTCGCTGTAAATCGATGTCATTCAGTCTTTAGGGATCAGTCTTTGAGCAATGGTTTGATCTAGTTTTAGGGAATCTTTCAAGGAGAGATTCCACTAGCTCAGGAGTTTAGGCATGAATTCTTGTACTGGATCCAAAGGCTGTAGAATTCATCTCGCCATAAGCATTGGGCAATGGTAATGCTCTGGTAATCTATGCCACAATGATAACTAATAATTGAAGACTTGCTTCTACAGGTTAAGTTGTTGAGGGCTGATTTCTTGTCCTGTGATAAAAGGCCTTCTGTTTCGACCGCCAAACCTTTCAGGGGAGCATTTGCAACCGTTTGGCACCATTTTTGAGTGAACTGCCAAGAGTCAGACTTTGTCTGAAATTGTGACCCAGGGCTTAGGCATTATTTTCAAAAAACTTTTTCTGCCGGTTAAGTTGTTGAGGGCTGATTTCTTGTCCTGTGATAAAAAGCCATCTGTTTCGACCGCCAAACCTTTCAGGGGAGCATTTGCAACCTTTTGGCACCATTTTTGAGTGAACTGCCAAAAGTCAGACTTTTGCTGAAATTGTGACCCGGGGCTTAGGGATTTTTTCAAAAAAATCTTTTTCTGCCGGTTAAGTTGTTGAGGGCTGATTTCTTGTCCTGTGATAAAAGCCTTCTGTTTCGACCGCCAAACCTTTCAGGGGAGCATTTGCAACCTTTTGGCACCATTTTTGAGTGAACTGCCAAAAGTCAGACTTTTCCTGAAATTGTGACCCCGGGGCTTAGGCATTTTTTCAAAAAAATATTTTTCTGCCGGTTAAGTTGTTGAGGGCTGATTTCTTGTCCTGTGATAAAAAGACTTCTGTTTAGACCTCCAAACCTTTCAGGGGAGCATTTGCAACCTTTTGGCACCATTTTTGAGTGAACTGCCAAAAGTCAGATTTTTACTGAAATTGTGATCCCGGGGCATAGGCATTTTTTCAAAAAAATCTTTTTCTGCCGGTTATGTTGTTGAGGGCTGATTTCTTGTCCTGTGATAAAAAGCCTTCTGTTTCGACCGCCAAACCTTTCAGGGGAGCATTTGCAACCTTTTGGCACATTTTTGAGTGAACTGCCAAATGTCAGACTTTTGCTGAAATTGTGACCCCGTGGCTTAGGGATTTTTTCAAAAAAATCTTTTTCTGCCGGTTAACTTGTTGAGGGCTGAATTCTTGTCCTGTGATAAAACGTCTTCTGTTTCGACCGCCAAACCTTTCAGGGGAGCATTTGCAACCTTTTGGCACCATTTTTGAGTGAACTGCCAAAAGTCAGACTTTTGCTGAATTTGTGACCCCGGGGCTTAGTGATTTTTTCAAAAAAATATTTTTCTGCCGGTTAAGTTGTTGAGGGCTGATTTCTTGTCCTGTGATAAAAAGCCTTCTGTTTCTACCGCCAAACCTTTCAGGGAGCATTTGCAACCTTTGGCACCATTTTTGAGTGAACTGCCAAAAATCAGATTTTTGGTTAATTTGTGACCCCGGGGCTGAGGGATTTTTTCAAAAAATCTTTTTCTGCCGGTTAAGTTGTTGAGGGCTGATTTCTTGTCCTGTGATAAAAATCCTTCTGTTTCGACCGCCAAACCTTTCAGGGGAGCATTTGCAACCTTTGGCACCATTTTTGAGTGATCTGCCAAAAGTCAGATTTTTGCTGAAATTGTGACCCCGGGGCTTAGGGATTTTTTCAAAAAATCTTTTTCTGCCGGTTAAGTTGTTGAGGGCTGATTTCTTGTCCTGTGATAAAACGCCTTCTGTTTCGACCGCCAAACCTTTCAGGGGAGCATTTGCAACCTTTTGGCACCATTTTTGAGTGAACTGCCAAAAGTCAGATTTTTGCTGAAATTGTGACCCCGGGGCTTAGGGATTTTTTCAAAAAATCTTTTCTGCCGGTTAAGTTGTTGAGGGCTGATTTCTTGTCCTGTGATAAAAGCCTTCTGTTTCGACCGCCAAACCTTTCAGGGGAGCATTTGCAACCTTTGGCACCATTTTTGAGTGAACTGCCAAAAGTCAGATTTTTGCTGAAATTGTGACCCGGGGCTTAGGGATTTTTTCAAAAAATCTTTTCTGCCGGTTAAGTTGTTGAGGGCTGATTTCTTGTCCTGTGATAAAAGCCTTCTGTTTCGACCGCCAAACCTTTCAGGGGAGCATTTGCAACCTTTTGGCACCATTTTTGAGTGAACTGCCAAAAGTCAGATTTTTGCTGAAATTGTGACCCCGGGGCTTAGGGATTTTTTCAAAAAAATCTTTTCTGCCGGTTAAGTTGTTGAGGGCTGATTTCTTGTCCTGTGATAAAAAGCCTTCTGTTTCGACCGCCAAACCTTTCAGGGGAGCATTTGCAACCTTTTGGCACCATTTTTGAGTGAACTGCCAAAAGTCAGATTTTTGCTGAAATTGTGACCCGGGGCTTAGGGATTTTTTCAAAAAAATCTTTTCTGCCGGTTAAGTTGTTGAGGGCTGATTTCTTGTCCTGTGATAAAAGCCTTCTGTTTCGACCGCCAAACCTTTCAGGGGAGCATTTGCAACCTTTTGGCACCATTTTTGAGTGAACTGCCAAAAGTCAGATTTTTACTGAAATTGTGACCCGGGGCTTAGGCATTTTTTCAAAAAATCTTTTCTGCCGGTTAAGTTGTTGAGGGCTGATTTCTTGTCCTGTGATAAAAGCCTTCTGTTTCGACCGCCAAACCTTTCAGGGGAGCATTTGCAACAATGAGGAACCATATTATATAGAACTGCCAAAAGTCAGATTTTTCCTGTAATTGTGACCCCGGGGTTAGGGATTTTTTCAAAAAATCTTTTCTGCCGGTTAAGTTGTTGAGGGCTGATTTCTTGTCCTGTGATAAAAGCCTTCTGTTTCGACCGCCAAACCTTTCAGGGGAGCATTTGCAACCTTTTGGCACCATTTTTGAGTGAACTGCCAAAAGTCAGATTTTTGCTGAAATTGTGACCCTGGAGCTTAGGAATTTTTTCAAAAAATCTTTTTCTGTCGGTTAAGTTGTTGAGGGCTGATTTCTTGTCCTGTGATAAAACGCCTTCTGTTTCGACCGCCAAACCTTTCAGGGGAGCATTTGCAACCTTTTGGCACCATTTTTGAGTGAACTGCCAAAAGTCAGATTTTTCCTGAAATTGTGACCCCGGGCTTAGAGATTTTTTCAAAAAATCTTTTCTGCCGGTTAAGTTGTTGAGGGCTGATTTCTTGTCCTGTGATAAAAAGCCTTCTGTTTCGACCGCCAAACCTTTCAGGGGAGCATTTGCAACCTTTTGGCACCATTTTTGAGTGAACTGCCAAAAGTCAGATTTTTGCTGAAATTGTGACCCGGGGCTTAGGGATTTTTTCAAAAAATATTTTCTGCCGGTTAAGTTGTTGAGGGCTGATTTCTTGTCCTGTGATAAAAAGCCTTCTGTTTCGACCGCCAAACCTTTCAGGGGAGCATTTGCAACCTTTTGGCACCATTTTTGAGTGAACTGCCAAAAGTCAGATTTTTGCTGAAATTGTGACCTCGGCTTAGGGATTTTTTCAAAAAAATCTTTTCTGCCGGTTAAGTTGTTGAGGGCTGATTTCTTGTCCTGTGATAAAAGCCTTCTGTTTCGACCGCCAAACCTTTCAGGGGAGCATTTGCAACCTTTTGGCACCATTTTTGAGTGAACTGCCAAAAGTCAGATTTTTGCTGAAATTGTGACCCGGGGCTTAGGGATTTTTTCAAAAAATCTTTTCTGCCGGTTAAGTTGTTGAGGGCTGAATTCTTGTCCTGTGATAAAACGCCTTCTGTTTCGACCGCCAAACCTTTCAGGGGAGCATTTGCAACCTTTTGGCACCATTTTTGAGTGAACTGCCAAAAGTCAGACTTTTGCTGAAATTGTGACCCGGGGCTTAGGGATTTTTTCAAAAAATCTTTTCTGCCGGTTAAGTTGTTGAGAGCTGATTTCTTGTCCTGTGATTAAAAGCCTTCTGTTTCGACCGCCAAACCTTTCAGGGGAGCATTTGCAACCTTTTGGCACCATTTTTGAGTGAACTGCCAAAAGTCAGACTTTTGCTGAAATTGTGACCCGGGTGCGGTTAAGTTGTTGAGGGCTGATTTCTTGTCCTGTTATTAAAAGGCTTCTGTTTCAACCGCCAAACCTTTCAGGGAAGCATTTGCAACCTTTTGGCACCATTTTTGAGTGAACTGCCAAAAGTCAGACTTTTGCTGAAATTGTGACCCCGGGCTTAGGGATTTTTTCAAAAAATCTTTTCTGCCGGTTAAGTTGTTGAGGGCTGATTTCTTGTCCTGTGATAAAAAGCCTTCTGTTTCGACCGCCAAACCTTTCAGGGTAGCATTTGCAACCTTTTGGCACCATTTTTGAGTGAACTGCCAAATGTCAGACTTTTGCTGAAATTGTGACCCCGGGGCTTAGGGATTTTTTCAAAAAAATCAATAATGCCGGGTAAGTTGGTGTTGGCTGAATTAGTGTCCAGTGAAAAAAAGCCTTCGGTTTCGACCGGCAAACCGTTCCGGGGAGCCTTTGCCACCATTTTGCACCATTTTTGAGTGAACTGCCAAAAGTCAGATTTTTGCTGAAATTGTGACCCCGGGCTTAGGCATTTTTTCAAAAAATCTTTTCTGCCGGTTAAGTTGTTGAGGGCTGATTTCTTGTCCTGTGATGAAAAGCCTTCTGTTTCGACCGCCAAACCTTTCAGGGGAGCATTTGCAACCTTTTGGCACCATTTTTGAGTGAACTGCCAAAAGTCAGATTTTTCCTGAAATTGTGACCCCGGGGCTTAGGGATTTTTTTCAAAAAAATCTTTTTCTGCCGGTTAAGTTGTTGAGGGCTGATTTCTTGTCCTGTGATAAAAAGCCTTCTGTTTCGACCGCCAAACCTTTCAGGGGAGCATTTGCAACCTTTTGGCACCATTTTTGAGTGAACTGCCAAAAGTCAGATTTTGCTGAAATTGTGACCC